GTTTTCATTGGGGTGGTTTTTTTACGTGGCGGGTCCCAAACCCAGCGCACAACCCTATGCAGGGAATGTTTCGCCTTCTCACTTTAGCTCACCTTCGAACGGATGTTCTTGGCTACCCAGAGGATACTTGGTCAAAGACCGGAAGTCGTGAGCTGCTTGAGTCATATGTAAAAGAATCGTTTCTGGCCACTCCCACGTGAATGGCGATCAGAAAACTTTCCTCACTTGCGTGAACTTCTACCCATGACTCCATCCTCCTATTCGGATTTTACTGCTTAAAATTTGACTGAGCTGAAACTTTATATTTTTCGCATTAGTTTTCAAAGTCACTCAAGTTCAATAACTTTAACAGAGGCATGGACGAATTGAATTCAGTTACAGCAACCAAAACGGTATAATGTTCCAATGAGTTCCCTAAGATAAATTTCCGAGATGCATACAAATTTCTTAACCTTACTTCCCTGATAGATGTTCACCAATTCAGCTTCAATTTTGAATTGTTGTTGTTCCAACCGCAGGAAGTATGTATTATGTAAATGAGCTTGAAAAACGCTGCCGAATCCACAGTCGATAGTTAGTAAAAAACTGGGTTAGTTCCAGTAGATCCGATTGTCATGGGAACGTTCTAATATTACTCTTCATTTTAGACTGATTCCAACACGTCAAGCGTATATCACACCCATCTGTATAAAACAATTTTGTAATTATTACTGAACTTTTCAGTACTTTGTAAATATTTATTTTGATTTTCGCTTTCGCCATAACGAGCTTTTAGAAATAATTTATGTGTCCCGAATTAGTTAGCAAATACATGCACACAACTGTATGCTTGTATGCTTTTTTTCATTAAAGTGCTAATAGATAGTTTTATGTCTTTTTGTTGTAATTTGAGTAATTAATGCATTTGCAATGTTTTTCTTTTATTTCCCTTTTATTTGCAGTTGTAAATCAACGCTATGAACCGGAAGTGCAAAATCCAGGAGGTTTTATTGGTAGCAATGTATTAATTAAATGTAATATTCCGTCGTTTGTTAAGGAGTATGTAACGGTAACATCATGGCTGCAGGAACCAAATTTCAATATATATCCATCGCTAGAAGGAGGTGAGTAGAAATTATATGTCTAGCTAATTACAAGTACAGTGGAGTCACGATAAAAGCGTCATACTCACTTAAAAAAAATTAAATGTCTTAAAAAGCCGCATAAATAAAATTTGTTTGGGAAATACTCAAATTCCGTTCTAATAAAAATATTTTTAAGTAGTATAAGTATTTTCAATTTCTTCGTTCGAGTCTTACAGAATAATATAGATTAAAATATTGGTCACTTTATCCAACCCCAGCGCATTAAAGGAATCTTTCGAAGATTACTTGTAGCTGTGGGGATACATCATTTTAATGAATTTGCTTTTTTTCGGCATTCAAGAAAAGTATATTCACTTTTTCATGTGCTACGATAGCCTTGAGTGGACAGTTTACATCGCAGAAGGTAATTAATATTTTTTCTAATGAAGTTGGTAACATGTTAGTGACAATATACTCTGCTTATGGTCCCAAGAGTTCTAAAATTGCAACAACTTTCAAAGTTCCAAAACGCAGGAGTCAAAAAAAAAAAAAAACACGGTCAAAATTTAGTCTACGCAACTATTTGCTTTTCGTTCTTCTTCTTCTTTACTGGCATAGACACCGCTTATGCGATTATAGCCGAGTTAACAACAGTGCGCCAGTCGTTTCTTCTTTTCTCTACGTGGCGCCAATTGGATATTCCAAGCGTAGCCAGGTCCTCTCCTCCTGGTCCTTCCAATGGAGTGGAGGTCTTCCTATTCCTCTGCTTTCAGACTCACTCAGAGCTGGAGTGTTTTCATCCATCTGGACAACATGACCTAGCCAGCGTAGCCGCTGTCTTTTAATACGCTGAACTATGTCAATGTCGTCGTCTATCTCCTACAGCTCATCGTTCCGTCGAATGCGATATTCGCTGCGGCCAACACGCTAAGGACCATAAATCTTTCGCATAACTTTTCTCTCGAAAACTCGCAAAATCGACTTATCAGTTGTTGTCATCGTCCAAGCCTCTGCACCATATATCAGGACGGGAATTATGAGTGACTTATAGAGTTTGGTTTTTGTTGTCGAGAGAGGACTTTGCTTCTCAATTGCCTACTCAGTCCGAAGTAGCACTTGTTGGTAAGAGATATCCTGCGTTGGATTTCGAGGCTGACGTTGTTGTTGGTGTTGATGCTGGTTCCTAAGTAGACGAAATTATCTATGACTGTCAACAGTGACATGGGTGCCTTGTCTCGAGTGCGATGACTGTTTGTTTGATGACAGGAGATATTTCGTCTTGCTTTTCATTAGTCTATAAAAATCATATGTAGATTTAGTAAAACAAAAAGGGTTAGTGAAAATGCCGAACCAACTACGAAATCTATCACCAAAGCACAACCTGCCAAGAGTAGTCAACAGACGGTTTCCTCTTCCACTTCAGTCTTCCATCTCTAGTGCTATGAGTTTTGATAGTTCGGTGTTTCAGTATGGAACACCCACACTACCCCTTACCCGGCCATCGACCATCCTTCATCGAGCCAGCTCGTTGCACATATCCTTGTTGAAAACTTTATTATTATTATATGCCACAACAGACCAAAGCTATTTAAATACCGAGTCACATGTACGTGGTCTGAGTTATTAGGAATGCATGCGTGGATGAATGTATGCAGTTGTAGTTAAGTATATAGCGGAAAAAGTTAGACAACGAATCCGCAAATGAAAGCAGCACTAAAATAAAATAAACGAATACAGTACTGCACACCACATTTCCGCTGAACCATAACCTTTTTGCCAGTTCATTTTTATCGCACACATTTTCTCACATTACTCTGTATTTTTAGATGGGAAAAATCATATGCTACCTACCGGCGAACTTCTGGTGTACAACATCACTCGCACCGATGCGCACAAAGTTTATCGCTGCCGCACCCATCACAAGCTGACGCAGGACTCCGTTGTGAGCAGCAATATGGGCAAAATTCAATTGACTGGTAAGTTAACTACAGCAACAACAATGTTAACCAAAAATAGTGGTAATCTAGCATCGCTAAAGCAACCGACGCTTGATCTCACCTTACGGCATTTAGTTTATTGATAGCCAATAGCCAAGCATGTTTATTTTAGTTGCGTGTTTTCTCAAGAAAAGAATGATCATTTTTTGTCATATTAAATCAAGCTGATATGTAGCATTTCGGAAATTCTGTGAACAAAACTTTGAATGTAAAACTTTAGTGAAATTTCTCTCCAATAATCATTTGATTTTACCATCGTTTCAAGTACTATTTTACCTCTATACCAACAGAGATCTGTCAGATATCTTGGTAAATCTAAGTATAGTTGAAGTGTATAATCTCTTCCCATTTGCTCTAATTCAAAAGGCTTTACAGGTTTGTCTTTGTCTTCGACGCCTGTTCGGTCACTTATTAATTTTTATTACTAATAACTTTGTAACTTCGTATAAGTGGATACATTAAGATCTGTATGTAGACGGTCCCAAGAACTCCCGAGAAGAGTTCTCTCGAGTGCTCCAAGTGCTTGTTATCTCGGTTCGGCCTCGTTCACGTTTCTGAACCGTATAATTGAACGGAAATAATAAGATATTTATAAAGCGAAATTTTTGTTCATTGATCCTTACAGCTTTTCAATTGCCTACCAATTCTAAAGCAGCACATGATTGTGAGTGTTTTTCTATGCTTAATATTCCGGCTTCGATTGTTTGTTGAATTTATGTTGGTTCCGAGATATACAAAGTCATTCACTTCAAATTAATGGTTGTCAACGTAGTTCTCAAGAAAGAAATCGGTGGTCTCCACAACACCAATTTCTTTTGCTTTTTTCTTGGCTAGTGCTGACTATTCTGTTGTTTAGGGCTAGTTATGATGATAATATCATCCGTGTATCTCATTTGCATTATACTTACATATATAATAGTTTTTAGGCAGTGCCACTGCGGCTACGATTACTAGCGCGTCTCACTTTTGCCGTCGTTATTTTAAGGAAGAATCACCCTATCTAAAACTTCTGAGAAGTCGAACGTCTCGGAGAGATCTTTCCCGATTTTTTTTGGTGGCTAACGTCATTATACATAATAGTATGGATTCGCACATTATGCTAATTGATTGGATTGGTGACGATTTTTTTGTCGAGAGTCAAACCGGTTGTTAATATTAAAACTCTAAATAAATTTTTGATCTGAAAAATTTACAGTAAAAATTTCAACAATAGTCTAGAGCATTACTGCAGCTGATTTAGTTTTACCTTCTAACTCGTCTAATACAATTGTGAGTATTTACTCAAGAAATTATTGAAATCTGTGAAGAAAATATTTTCAAAGCTATTCCATTGAAGTTCTTCTCTTCTCGGACTTTAAGGCTTAAGCTAGTGAAATTATAGTTGATGTACAGGGTTTGTCGGGAGTGTAATAGTATTGATAGCGTGCACGCACCGACTGGATTCGGTAAAGTGGTTATCTCAGAGAACCTGTGCAGTCAGGATCAAGCAGGCTTACGCAGATAATGCTTTAGAAAGAAGTGGTGTGTTTCGGTAGAGGTCGCTGATGCAGACTTATGAAGACCGTGCTGAGAGACCTGCAACTTCGAGAAACTCAGGCCGTCGACTACGTAATCCTTTAATTACCCATTTGTTAAGTCTATCAAAATCCGGAGACGCCTTCAATGCTTGGAAATCGAGCTGACAGCGCTGCATGGAGGCAAAAGGGCCTATTTTGAAAGTTTTTAAAGAATTGTAACGGTGGTTCAATATTTTTTTTTAAATCGACTGAATCCTATTATTTTCCTTACAAAGCCTGTATATTTACATATATGTTTCAAAAGAGAAAACTACAAACATCAGAAGATCCGTCTTTGGGCAAATTTTTCAAAAGTACAATAGTTTCCCTTTACATCATCTTCTGCTGAAATAGTAGAACGAAAAAAAAATTTTCAGATGGAAATTAGAATGCACAAAACTACTGTTACTAATTACCTACCTATTGAATGAAAAAGGTATACATCTTTCCTTCAGTTAACTAGGAATTGGTGCTATATTTTTGTTTTTAAGTTACTTGCTCCAATTTTTTGACGTCGACCAACTTTCGTTGATCGTGCGATTCGAATCTTTTAAGCTTGAAGTTTTTGCACATTGTAAATTTTCATTGTGTATAAGAATATTACTCAGTGTGGGAATGGAACCTGACTATTTTCCTTCGCAAATCGCTGCGAATGCGTTGCTAATGATTTGCACAACACTGTACCAAAGTGGCCACAGGCTTCACCAATCGCGTGTGAGTTTTTTAATGATGCGGTGTGTTAATTACATCGTCAAATTAATTAGCGATAGCTTCGAAGCTAAAAGCCAAACGCAACCTAGACATTAAGTTTGCAATAAGTATACACTTGAGGCCCCTGAAACGCACTCAAAAGCGCAAATAAACAACAAATAATAGGTTGTCAAAAAAGTCTTGCGGTATTTTTATTGAATTTTCAATTGTTCATACAATTTTATTTGATGACAGGTCTTTCGGAGCGTGGCGCATCTTCGACCACCTCTACACCAGAACGAAAATGTTGAAATCACCGTTGTGCAGTGGAAAAAGAAACTGTATCGGGTCCATAAACAGCACAAATTTTATTTGCCTTTATCGTAGTAGTACTGTAAAATATGCCGTATTTTCTGTTTATTTTGCTCCATGTTTGCGACGCTATAACTCACGAACAACTTAAAAGAAACGACAATCAATCAAATGAAATCGTAAGAAATGAGCTTTCCAAAAAGGTATAGCATGACCCGATGCGACGAATAAAACTGGAACGACGCGCTCTCAGCGCCAACTAGCGAAAATATCGCAAGCCTTTTTTGACAACCAATATTTAGTGTGTGGAACGCACCTCATATGTTAAATTCTGTTTCATTTTGGTTGAGTTTTTTGCAGGTGTTTTTGTTTTTGTTGTTATTATTGGTAACTGCTTTCTATAAGATATGCCATTGTAATATTTTTGTAATTTTACACTATCCCTCCTTTCTTTCTCTTTTTGTACTCCACAGAAATGCGTGAACTCGTGCCGCCCATTATGAATGAGAAGGCCACAAGCGTGGTAGCACGCTTGGGCGATCCCGTTGTCGTGCCATGCGTGGCGTACGCAAACCCGAAGCCTGTCTATCGGTAATTATTGTATATTAATCATTTAACGGTTCTTTCAATTTTACCTGCAGCGCTCGATTTAGTGAGACTTCCTTGTCGATTTATTTTATACGGTTCGATCTCACCAAAGAATAATCAGTTTCATTATTAATACTAGAAACCTCCGAAATAAGTTAGTTATTGGTATCCCCAATCTATCCCTTCAAAAAATTTCAATTTGGGATACAACTAAAATAGTTTTATTATGTTAAATAAATCAGTCCTCAATCAACTAGCACACATTCATACACCAATTATGGCTAGATGGTTCTGTCTGCGAAGCGTATGGGTCTGGTAATGGACGAGAGAAAAGTTTTGCGAAAGATTTATGGTCCTTCCCTCATTGGCAACGGCGAGTACAGCAGTCGATGGAACAATGAGCTGTACGAGATATACGATAATATTGACATAGTTCAACGAATTAAGACACAGCGGCTATGCTGGCTAAGTCTAATTGCTTGGATAGAACAAAACAGAGAGAAGGACCTGGTTGCACTTTTTATCTCGAGTTGGAGCTAAAAGAAAAGACGACTAGCACGCTGTTGTTAGCTCGCGTAAGCGGTGTCTACGCTACTAAAGAAGAAGAATAAGATTCTCTTATGATTTACTCTGAACGATACTTTCGACAGTTAATAGTTGCCCAACCACAGGCAACCAATAGAACACCCTTTTTGCAGTTATTGAGAGTGTAGTATCTTCTCTACGAAGCAGCTTCCCGAAATAATAACATAGCCAGTTATCCAAACCAGTCTAATCATACAGTAACTCGTTGCTAGAGATGAGAGTTCTTGATCATACTGTAAGCGAACACGAGGCTAATTTCGCCAATCTCCAATGTCGGATAGTCATCTCTCCGAAGGAGGCTGTACTCAGCAATAAATCTACTGCTACCTTTGTGGCAACCTGCTTAAAACCGGAACTGATGGTTGGTTTCGGACAGTGAACTAGCATCCCAAACCAATATCTGAGATGGAGACGTCATCCAGCACCATCGATTATCATTTCTGAAACTACAAAGAAAAACCTATGTAAAGCACCTCATGTGAAAAATGAAGTTGAAGGTGAACAGAGAGAGCTAAGCGAACAATAAGAAACTGAGTCTTCAATGTTCTGATATGTGAAAATTCGCAAGACATACCAAATGATAGAGAATACCGAATGGTAATAAACTGGCGCAAAAGAAAAAGCAAAAGAAACTTCTGCGTGCATTTTATAAATTTTAAATTTTCCATATTTTTAACAAGCACAAAGTTTAATGTAAAATTTTTTGCGAAAGGTTTTTTAATGAACTCTGAGATTAGGGAAACTTTTTATTTAAAAGTCACAACAGTGCAAGTGATCGAAGATATACAGGTATCGTCAGCTCCCCGCAATGACTTTTCTATTTAAATTACTCTCTTTCGTTTTTGAGAAACGAAAGCCACATTAAATTAATGAAATAACTGCGGACAATTAAAATTGACAAAATTTAAACGAATGTGGAGAGTTTAAGATGAAAATGGAAGCAAAAAATATGAGGGTGCCATCATAAGCACTACGGACTCAAATGCCGCCACCTCTGCTCACTTACGGCAGTGTACGTATGTATGTGACGAAATGTTTGCAAGGGAATATTGTGCATATTTGGGTAAAAGCTTGTCGGCACACCAAGTCAAGCTAAGACAAAACGAACCGACCAGCAACAGCAGGAGCTGGCGAAGGGTATGGGCAACTATGTCAGGAACAAGCAGGGAAATAATTTAACACACATGACTGCTGCAACTGTCCCGTGGTACGCTGGAGCCGTGGAAACCAACCGTGCCAGGCGAATCACAAAGGGAAAATGTAAAAAGCAGAAAATTAAGAAGCAGAAAACCTAAAAGCCAGAACGACATAAACAAACAACAACAAAAGAAGAAGAAAAACCGACCCAAGCAAAGCGAAAAAAAAAGTCTAGAAAATGTGAAGTGTTGTGCGGTCATATGCGAGTGAGTTTGTGTGACATAGAACCGGAAAGAAACTCAAGCGACAGTGGAAATACTCAAGCGTGCCTATTGGTCTGGGAAGAATGAGCGCAACTTCGCATTGTGGCTGTTAGGCGTACGCGCTTTTTTGTATGCTACATTTATTATGTGTGATAAATATGTGTTGAGACAGTTTTTGCCTTGTCCACATACGTATACGCCCATATTACAGTTGATACGCTCGAGTCCATTGACATGCAGTATTTTAATATGCCTCGGCTAGCAGGTTGCCGGCAACAACATACTATATGTCTATAATAGCGACCACCACAAACAGTGGCATTAGCAACATCAGATGTGCACAGATACGTGAAATAATCATGACAGGAAGGCGCCCAATTTGATATTTATATATATATGTTTTGTAAATCAGATCTCGTCCTGTGGAAAATTAAGTTTTTCTTTCTCAAGCGGAACCAAACCCATTTATTTCCGAGAGTTATGGGCACAACCATCTCTTTTTTGTTGGCGCAGACATAGTACAAGATAGAAATCCTTTCAATCGACACCATAAAGCTGAACGCTACAAAGCAACTCAAATATTTGAAATTCATATATTGGGTATATGAACACTAAAAGTAAAATTGTCCCAATGTTTTCCAATTTTGGCATTAGAACAAAGCATTACCAGAAATATATATCTTAGAATTTTATTCAAATAACCTACAAATTAGCCAATAAATATTGGGTTGGCAAGTATCTCCCTTCCGCTTTTTTGCTCTTTATTCAATGCTTTATAAAAAGTGTTCCAGTGATCGGGACCGTTTCGTTGGATAATCTGTTTCTCAGGTAGATAGTAGAATTAAGTGTCTGGCTATATGGGGGCAGCTCATAGTGGATGATTCTTTTCCAATCCCACCAAACACACAGCCAAACCTTCCTGTCCGTCAATCCCGACTTGGCCACTGTTTGGTACGATTTACCGGCCTTCGACCACGACCGTTTACCATCCAGTTACCATCCGCAGCAAAAATAGGTCGAGTTCGTGCCATTCAAGCAGCATATCGCAGGCATTGATTCGGTCCCGAAGGTTTTTTTGCATTAAATCATGAGGCACCCAAACAACATGTTTTTTTGTATTTCCAGCCTTATGTAGATTGTTTAATATGGTTTGGTGACTAACACTCATCTTCTGGGACATACCAGTACTGGGTTTGATTGGAATTCGTAGTCCACAGGTCTTCCTCCGACTGTCTTATCCATGGTGTCGTTTTCACCAGCTCTGAAACGTCGAAACCATTCCTCAGCTAGATCCAAAGTAATCATGCATAGCGTAGTTTTGTAGGAAATGTGTTCTTTGGCTTAAGCATACGAGCTCTGTAGCGCCTTATACATAGCCGCGAAATTCAATTGGAAGAGAGATATTTGACAACTTAATATAATATATAAGTCTCTGCGTTTTAAAAGTCGAACGGATTCCAAAATTCTTACATTAGATGTATGAGAGTTAGGCGTCGCATACATCTACTTTGATCCAATTTAGGCACAAGAATTCACTGTTATTAGAACAGTTCAAAAATGTTTACATTAGGCCTATTCGAGTTATGGGAAGTACGGCCCAATTTTATCAATTTTTAGTAGTTAGGCGCAACATTATCAAAAAAATATTCCTATTCGTTCTATGTTAACTCATACTGACGATTATCATATCAGACATCTTACTGGCATTGTTGGAATATCGGAAGCAGCAGTGAATACACTGTGAGAGATAATTTGGGACTTAGGAAAGTGAAATAACGAAATTGTTTTCGAAAAACAGCGTCGCGTTAACGTCGCTGAAACAATGCTATTATTACTGCCGATTAGATTTGGATCAATGATTAGCAGCCGGATATACACGACCAGTCGGCCGAATATCGAAGCCGAAAAAATATCCCAAATCAGGTCAAAACTCAAAGTTATGTCGTCAGTTTTCTGCGCTTATCGAGGTATGGTGCACTTCGAATTCCTTCTGACCGGTCAAACTGTCCATGAGGAATACTATTTGAGGGTTCTGCGTCGTTTGCGCAAAATAGGCCGAAATTATAGGCACAACGATAATCCGCATCCCGCATTAATTCTTCTGAATTGTGGTTATTTCGGGAAGATAACTAAAGTTTCTATAGCCTATACATTTTCTGAATATGAAAAATAAAATTCCACATATTTCAACTATTACAAATTACTTATAGCTGGCATACGAAACGACCAAACAACGAGGAGTCCATACAGCATTTGCTGGCGACAGGTCGTGCAAAAATTAAGGAAGGCACGCTAATTATAACCGCAGTCGATCGGTCCGACAGCGGAGCCTTCTTCTGCACTGCCACCAACTCGGAAGGCAGCGAAACTTTGGAAGTACAAATTGCCGTTACATCACCGCTCACTGCCAGCATCCAACCCACCGTGCAAACAGTGAATCTGGGAAAAACCGCAAACTTGGTGAGTTTCATAGCCACCAGGCGAAAATTTAATTGAATATTCGCGAAATTTATTTGAAACACACAAAAAACTCACTTAAATTTCGCACAATTAGCCTAATGATTGGCGCTTTTATATAGCTCTAAGAGTGTTTATGTTCTTTTCATTAGATTTGCAGCATTTCGGGCTTCCCAAAACAGAGTGTTCTTTGGCTGAAGGATGGTCAACCACTGCGTTCCGGCGCACGCGTCCGTCTACTCTCCACAGAGCACATACGCATTACGTCCATTACAAAGGAAGACAAGGGGATGTATCAGTGTATTGTGAAAAATGATTTGGAGTCGGCCCAAGCCACAGCGGAATTGCGACTAGGAGGTGAGTGGAATGCTAATTATGGCAATTACTTGATTTTATTTCATAATTGAAATCAAGCTTTCTTTGAAAGTGTGAGCATGGTATTCAAAGGGCTGGGTCAAAAAGAGAATTGAAAGATAAATTGGAAAATGTTGTAGAACAGTAGCACCGGCATGGCATTTTCTTTTCTACATTTTGGCATTCTTAGTGCCCCACTTAGTTTATTCATTCGTAATTGTCTCTCAATGACGAACTGCTATAACGGACTTTCATAATAACTATTAAGCTTAAATTCTGGGCAAATCTGTCTTCTTAACTTTAGGAACTTGGATCTAACACATGTTTCAGGTTCTGATAGGTGTAGCGAGTTTTGTTAATAATATTTCAGATTATACTTACTTAACTGAAAACATAATTTTCTTGCAGAGGTGGCACCGCAACTAATCTACAAATTCATCGAACAGACTATACAACCAGGACCGTCAGTTTCGCTGAAGTGCAGCGCCAGTGGCAATCCAACACCGAAAATTGTCTGGCACTTGGATGGATTTCCGCTACCAAATGTGAGTATGGCAATCCTACTCATATATTTAACCTATATTATTATGTATAACTAATAAGTTCATATATAAGTAGCATAAATGGCAAATGTTGACTCAACTTCCGTTTCAGTATAGTTGGCTGTACTATATATATGACTTTAGCGGTGCCCTAATTGCTTTTAAGATCACAATTAAATATACCGTTGTACATTCTCACAACTTGAAAGTAGAGAGCGTTCCAAGTGTAACCTGTTCTCAATGGCATTGCGCAACAACAGTTCATTAATAGGATTAAAACAGAAAAATAGAGAGAAACATTACCAACTCGATTGCTCCCCTGACAATTAGGTTGCTCCACATTTTGCACATTTTGTTGGCGCTGCTAAAGTCTTCAAATTTGAAATTCAATTCTTCCATTTGTGGAAATTGCATATACTATATGCATACATACATACATAGGTAGTTATTTACGTAATTGGTGTTTTTTAGTCGTTTTTTGTCGAGTGTATAATACGCAGCGAAGACGCTTTTCTTGCTGTGAAACAGAGTATCGAAGAAGAGCCAAATAAGTTCATACGCAACAATTGAAGCTTTGTCCATCCAATCGATTTTACGAAAGAATATTGGGCTTACAGCTGCTGCAAAAAATGAGTTGAACGAACAGCAACTGTGTCGCAAGCTCTGTGAATACATCCAAAACAAACTGGCCATTGGTCCCGATTTTTACCAAAAAGTTTTCTTAGGCGAAGCTGACTTTTGATTGAATGGGTACGTTAACGAACAAAGTTGTCGCATTTGGAGTGAGTACACTGCAGTAAATTCTCAGATGGTCAGGTGCACTCTATGGTTAGAGAGAATCTTCGGTCTCTATTTCTTTAAAAATTAGCCAAGATTAATGACTTTTTCGTGCCTGGATTGATGGCTGTTAAAGTGGCCAACTTTTGGCTAAATCGAAATAATCTATTTATTGAAGGAAACTTTTGGGTATTGTGTGTTTCTTTTTATTATCTTGACATATTGAAAAAGATGTACTCGTGTTGCACCAACACACTGGCGCTTACATACCCATACAATTTATAGTGCAGGGAGCTTTCTCTTCTCGTGATGAACAAGAGTTATGTTAAAAGCATTAAAAACCACTGTTGATATGTTCCACAGACTTGTCGTGATGTATTGCAGCATAGAAATACATGAATTATTTTATTTCGAACTTCATTGTATAGTATCAAAAGACGGTATTTTGATTGGAACTTCTAAGAGAACAAAAAGATATGAGCCATCTAAGCTGTTTATCCCAGTTATAAATATTTGGTACTGGTAACGATTCTGGTTTTATTCGTTAGTCACTTTTCAATTTTTTTATACCCTTAGCAGGGTATTTGGCATGACCTATTGTCTAAAGAAATTGTTCAGAACGGATCACAATAACGTTTAGCTGGAATATAAATACATTGATTTTGGCGAAAAAACCATTTGTTTTGTGTTTTTTTTTTTAAGTCCTTTTTACTTTGGACCTCACCTTGTAGAACTTTAAGCCAAAAATAGTATGACTTTTTAATTTAAATTTCGAACGAAAACCCATTTATCGAAATATTTTTTCCTATGTTGGTATGACTGTCAGTGACATCTGTGTTTAAATACCACATCACAATAATCCTTATTGGTTGTTATGCGCTTGTCGTCTGTCGTCCTTAAGGACATAAAGTGCATTCGGCGATTTTTACGATGAGTGAAGTTATTCAACAAAGAAAGTTTCAGTTAATTTTGGTCAGTTCCATTAAATTTGGTGTGCAGAATAAAATTTTTGGTGCCGACCCTAAAAAAATAAAAGTACAATTGATTCCAAAATCACTAAGGATGTCATGAGACATATATTACTGGCGTTGAGTTTTGAATCTATGCTTACAATTCGGAAATAAACAATCAATCGACCGAAAGATCAGGGTTATATTGACAGCTTTCTTCGATTATCGAGGTGTGGTGCACTCCGAATTCCTTCCGATCGGCCAAACTATCAACAAGGAACCTTATCTGAGTTTTATGTGTCGGTTGCGCGTTTGCGTTGATTCTTCGTGAGATTTTCGCCCAATTTTTAATCCATATCGTGCCGCAACCACCATATTTGTTGAAGACAATAAACGAGAATCGGTACGCGTATTGACGGAAATTCTGGAAATTTACTCTAACAACTCTTTCGACGATTAGAAGAAGAACGTTGCTATAAGTGTTTTGGTATCTAGAAGAACGACATAGATTTTGAAGAATAAATTAGCAATTTGAAGACTGTAAACAAGTTTTACTATTTTTTACTCATAGTGGAAATTTAGCAAGAAAAAAAAGGAATGGCGGACTTTGTAGACGGGCGTAATCGGACTAACGCTACGCCCACAAAATGCTAAGAAAAGAAAATTTATAAAATGGCTAACTAAGCACTAAACCAAGAAACAGAACTTTAATTTCACACAGAAGATTGCTGTAGAACGAGCTACAATAGCCAAACAGTGTGAAAAAGGATGAAACCGGATAATAACCTCTAAACTAAACACGCCAAAGCCATTCAGTTTTGCGGCCGAATTCGTACGACATTATACGATTAGGCGTAAAAATAGGTCGATGCGCATGGCACCGTCCATTATTAAGCAAAATCACATATCTGGAGGTCCGTAAAACCGATTTCAACGAACTTCAATATTTAAAATTCTTGTGTTACATACCGAATTATTTTCTTCCAGTAAACAAATCTTGAAGAAATTAATATAACGGTATAAACACCATTCAAACCCCTAGATACCAAATATTTGAACCCCTGTATCTGTAGTTGAGTTTAACATGAACTATCGGTATGGAATATATACAATTGAAATTAAGAAATTTGTGTCGCAAATGGGTTGAAGACGGTCAATACTTCCCTGAACCCCCATATAGCTAATATAGAGATTTTCGAGCTTTCGGGCGGATCTATACTGTATATATGGATGAATATTTGAGTTATCTCAACGAAAATTACAGAACGTGGTTTACTCATAACAGTGTATTTTTCAGTCTATAATGCGGAAAATTGGGAGATACATCAGCTCGGCCTCCATATAATAAACATAGGGGTAACATCCGTCCTTTGCTTTGATTCTTGCAAGTTGCCAGAGCATAAAATGTTCTCTAACGCCCCAACCTAACACTTCCTTACTTGTTAATGCTATAGATTAGTGTTGCTGACAGTTTCGTTGATGCTATAGTTGCTGGTGGCCGCTAGGCCAAGCGACGAAAGCGTACTTCGCATAAATCGAGTTCTGATGTTATGCACGAGAGGATACGCAAATTAAAGTCATCGTCAGAATCCTGCGCACTTGAAGTCTCCAATGCATCCATCTTAAAATGTACGCCGCAAACCTTCTAGACACTGGAGTACTAAGCCATATGTTTGCCCATTTGGTCTTCTCTTGCCGGCTGCGTTAGTTGCGCTGCTATTTTGCGTTGGTGCTTTGCGTTAATGCCCTAGTTGCGACAACAAAAGTGGTTGACAGCTTGAAAACTGCAACTGGAAAGTTCAATCAATTCTGTTGTTGTGGTTGCAGTTGCTGGTTCCATTGTAGTTTTAGCCATATTGCACATATGCGTTCCGATATATGCCATCAACACTACACATAAAACTTTAAACTCTGACTATGGCTTTGAAAAATTTCAATTCGCTACTACTTTGAGAATAAGAAATAAATTAAATATATGAGAATGTAAGTTCTTAAAAAAAATTGTCTGGAAGATGTAGCCTCGCTTAATATTAAACTTCTGTCGAATTTATTGTCGAGGCAGGTGTGAGTATGTGTTGATGTAAAAACTGAAAAAAAAAATTCCAAAATGAATACTTCCCTGCACAGTCTTCTAATAACTAAACGTCGTAAGATTCCGACAGTTAAAGACCAGCTTGTTATACAAAATCACATATACATATATGGTAACATATAATGTAGGCAAGAGAATGTATCGTAAACAAACTCCCCAAGCCAGGCGCTGTAGCTTAACACTAAGGGGTCGCTATTTTTATACTCTCGCAACAATGTTGCTAAAGAGGGTATTATAGTTTTGTTCACATAACGGTTGTTTGTTAGTCCTAAAACTAAAAGAGTCGGATATAGAGTTATATATACCAAAATGATCAGGGTGACGAGTAGAGTTGAAATCCGGATGTCTGTCTGTGCGTCCGTCCGTCTGTCCGTATGTCCGTCCGTCCGTGCCAGCTGTAACTTGAGTAAAAATTGAGATATCATGATGAAACTTGGTACTCGTATTTCTTGGCTCCATAAGAAGTTTAAGTTCGAAGATGGACAAAATCGGCCCACTGCCACGCCCACTAAATGGCGGAAACCGAAAACCTATAAAGTGTCATAACTAAGCCATAAATAAAGATATTAAAGTGAAATTTGGCAAAAAGGATCGCACTAGGGAGGGGCATATTTGGCCGTAATTTTTTGGAAAAGTGGGCGTGGCCCCGGCCCCTACTAAGTTTTTTGTACATATCTCGGAAACTGCTACAGCTATATCAACCAAACTCTATAGAGTCGTTTCCTTCAGGCATTGTCATATACAGTTCAAAAATGGAAGAAGTCGGACAATAACCACGCCCACCTCCCATACAAAGGTTATGTTGAAAATCACTAAAAGTGTGTTAACCGACTAACGAAAAACGTCAGAAACACTAAATTTTACAGAATAAATGTCAGAAGGAATCTGCACCCAGGCCTTTTTTAAAAATTGAAAATGGGTGTGGCGACGCCCACTTATGGACCAAAAACCTTATCTCAGGAACTACTCCACCGATTTCAATAAAATTCGGTGTATAATATTTTCTTAACACCCTGATGACATGTACGAAATATGGGTGAAATCGGTTCATAACCACGCCTTCTTCCTATGTAACGCTATTTTGAATTCCATCTGATGCCTTCGCTGTATAATATATACATTAGGAACCAATGATGATAGCGGAATAAAACTTTACACAAATACGGTATTTGAGCTGAGGTATCCCTTGTGGAAAAATTGTCGTGATCGGACTATAACTTTTCAATGCAATTAAAATAATCTAATTAATTTACAGCAAAATAAAAAAATATGTAAATGACGGATAATGAAATCTCGATTATCACTTTATCATGCGAGAGTATAAAATGTTCGGTGACACCCGAACTTAGCCCTTCCTTACTTGTTTCTATTTAATTGTAGCTCGAAAATCTACAGCGCCTGGCTGGAAATAGGATTTTTTGTTTACTCAACGGTCTTCGTGTACACTGTCAGCTTTGGCTGCTATATTTTCTTCACACGGTGCTGGACGTGGTCCAATAATGAGTTCTGGGTCTCAAGATGGGTGATGGTGTTGCGAAAAGTACGCTCAGTAATTCTTTACAGAACGTAAATTTTCGTTAAAAGTTCAATGATTTGTAAACGTTGTCAGGTGTTGTCTTGCCTTGATGAAATAACAAAAAATACAGAACAAAAATAACATACAGTATGTAAATATTTTCAAGATTATCTAATATATAAAATTTCCATGTCACAATGTTAGTTACCGTAGTCCGCCGAAAGTGCTTTACCGATTTTTACCATATTTTATATGTACTCAGTAGATCTGAGAATCGTCTACTATCCTCTAAAAGTCGAAAAATTGGACAATTCCTAAAATTAACATTTTCCTCACAAATTTGTTTTGTTTTGTTTTTCAATATTTTGATATTATTCCGGCTATTTATGTGTTTATGTTTCACACAAAGTGATCAATAACAGATTAAAATTTGTTACGAAACTACGAAGAGGTCGCGCTAATATTGGTCGGCGTTCTTTTTGTCATCAACGTATGGCAGCCCAAGTCACATTAACGAGTACTTCCAGGATGCGTTGGCATAAGTGTGGATTTATGGATTGCTGTCAATCAGCAAGCGATGAACATGACTTTTAAAACAAACAGCTGATGTTTGATGGACTTTATCTTGAAACAACGTATAGGTGGTGCCAGCAATTACAATTTCTGGAACATGACAACCACTGGAATCAAACGCGATCAAACGTTCGCACACTTTGCGCGATGATCTTTTCAACATATCAGCCTTCAAATCTGTGTCTATCGTCTTGACAATGAAGACGAAGCAGTGAATTGTCCAGTAGAGTTTCTAAATTCTTTGGAGAGCCTTGGTATGCATCATTTGCGTCTCAAAGTTGGATCTGCCATTACTATGTTTCGCAATCTTTATGCGTCGCAAGTGTGTAATGGAACCGGGCAGATTGTGATGCAGCTATCGAATACAAGGTGGATAGAAGTGTGTGGCATAAGTCTGGAAATGCCATCTTTTTCACACGGCCTGCTATACGTGGCGTGTGCATAATTCCGAAACCAATCTTCTCTATACATTTAAGCACCAGAACAGAGACCAAAAAATTTTGTTTATCAAGCTGCGCTACATTGAAAAGAATCTAGAGAAATCGCAAATAAATGATTTAAACACAAAATATAGTACATTCAACTTTTTTCCATTGCAAAACGCATAATTTCACGCCAGACAACGCCTGCAGGATCAGCTAGTAATATACAATATTGAAAAAATTTAATTATAATATTTTGTGTCTTGTTCTGGTTATCTTTCTTACTTCGGAAATAATAATTTAATATTAACCTTTGAGTCGACATTTGTTTCTTATGTACGGTAGCAAGCTTTAAAACCTATAATTCCATACTTGGCATTTCCCACAGAATGACCGTCTCATGATTGGACAATATGTCACAATGTTTGGTGATGTTATAAGCCATGTCAACATATCTGCAGTAAAGTCAGAAGATGGCGGCGAATACGAGTGCAAAGCAATATCGCGGGCAGGTGAAGCATCGCATTCGGCACGCTTAAATATCTACGGTGAGTGGAGCTATTATAAAAACAAATATGTGTACATATGAATACTAATAAAACACGTAGGACACTCCCAGACTGATTGACAGGATGCTCTAAAATACTTGAAAATTTTGTGTAAATAAACGTCACGCCTTTAGCTGATATTCATATATTTCATTTGTTTGCTTAGCTTTCTTACACTCCTACAAGATTATTCAAATATATATTATTTTTCTCACTCGCAGGTATGCCATATGTGCGCATGATGCCGAAACTATCTGCGGTAGCGGGAAAGACCTTTTTTCTCAAATGCCCTGTGGCAGGATATCCAATCGACAGCATCATCATAGAGAAAGGTAAGCGTGCATGTACGAGTTCATATTTATTAATTTGCAAGCGCACATATAAATATGCACATAACATTCACATGAGCTTTGCTGACAGCTCAGCATTTGTTTCGTCGGTTTCAACGTGAAGAATACCTTGCGAACGAAATTCTCCTTCTGCGAGCATTTCCGCTCAAAGAGTTTATTGCATATTGTATAGAATACGAATGTGGCATGCAGCATGTGGTAAGTGATGCTTTTGGGGCTTTGCATGTTTAGTTGGAATGCATCTGTTCACATTGGGGTGATCCTTAAATACAATACAAATATACATCGAAAATCAGCAGTTGTAGTATTTCAATTTGCTAATAAACTCAAGCTTAACCAGAGCTTGGTTGTTCTATTGCCGCAGATATTTGCTATCACAGTACTGTCCACTGGTTCTTATAGGTTAAGCTATGCAGGCTGTTACCTCAAGATGGTAAGAGACACACTGCTTGTTAACGCTCTAAATAAAAAAGTCATTTAGTTGCATAGCAGCTATCGGCAAAATCCCTTTACTTGCCTCATATCTGCTAAGGTTCTTTGGTTATATTTAGTATATATGTAAATATGAAAAATCCGATATGTTTTAGCATTGATCTGCTAAAGGCGGAATATTTATGGAGGAAGTGCAGAGTTTATTATATCTCAATTTGTTCGAAGCAGCTGATGCAACCGATGTCTCAGTTTCATCCAAACCAGTCTAATCACGTAGTTACGCGACACCACAGATAAGGGTTTTAGACATATCTTCACTATTTTTGAGCACATAGTTAACTAGAAAAACTTTAATATCCTTTAATGTATGCGGATACTAAAAAGTCTAAAGGAGCTAACCTATGGAGCAATTAATCTTATGCTACTGACACTTTTGCTTCGAAGATCCTGCGCGACACACGATATCGATAACCATAAAAATTTCGCCTATACTCACATTCCGCGCGCATTGCCCTATTCCCCACAGATCGTTCTTTGCGGTTTAAAATGTGAAGATAAGCTTTAAAACAGTTCCGTATGAGGATAACTGCCATTTTTTTGAAATCTTGATAGCTCGCCGCAGTTGCGCTGGTGTTATGCCATCCGTCGCTGCTCCATATATCTTCAAAAACGAATTCGGTCATAATGTTACAGTCAACGAGGAAATTTATAAAGCCATGACTGAGGTCATTAGTTATTGTTGACATATCGCCCTAATTGCTGCAAAAAGTGCTCGAAATTTGGCATCACAACCAATAATATCTTTATGCTAAGGATAAATACTTCACTACAATATTAAATTATATGCGCTTTGTACCTTCCACATGTCTAAAACACACCCTTGAAAACTTTAAGGAGGGATTTAGTGAATTTATCTGAGAGATTTCCTTCGGAAACTATCAGATATTTTCGAACTAGAGACTTTTGAGGTCTTCCACTCCACAGCAACCAATTGATATCTTATAAAACTAGTTACACTAGACTTGTGTATGTCAATCTTAGTGATTTATGTCACTAAATAATTTTAGGAAATTTGTATACTCTCGCAACAAAGTTGCTAAAGAGAGTATTATAGTTTTGTTTACATAACGGTTGTTTGTAAGTCCTAAAGCTAAAAGAGTCAGATATAGGGTTATATATACCAAAGTGATCAGGGTGACGAGTAGAGTTGAAATCCGGATGTCTGTCTGTCCGTCCGTCCGTCTGTCCGTCTGTCCGTCTGTCCGTCTGTCCGTCCGTCCGTGCAAGCTGTAACTTGAGTAAAAATTGAGATATCATGATGAAACTTGGTACAYGTATTTCTTGGCTCCATAAGAAGGTTAAGTTCGAATATGGGCAAAATCGGCCCACTGCCACGCCCATAAAATGGCGGAAACCGAAAACCTATAAAGTGTCATAACTAAGCCATAAATAAAGAAATTAAAATTAAATTTGGCACAAAGGATCGCATTAGAGAGAGGCATATTTTTACGTATTTTTTTTGGAAAAGTGGGAGTGGCCCCGCCCCCTACTAACTTTTTTGTACATATCTCGAAAATTACTACAGCTATGTCAACCAAACTTTATAGAGTCGGCTTTAGGTATTTCCATATACAGTTCAAAAATGGAAGAAATTGGATATAACCACGTCCATCTCCCAAACAAAGGTTATGTTGAAAATCACTAAAAGTGTGTTAACCGACTAACAAAAAACGTCAGAAACACTAAATTTTACGGAAGAAATGTCAGAAGAAAGCTGCATCCAGGCTTTTTTTAAAAATTGAAAATGTGTGTGGCGTCGCCCACTTATGGACCAAAAACCATATCTCAGGAAGTACTCGACCGATTTCAGTGAATATATGTATATATATCTAATATAATAATATTTTAATATTTTCTTAACACCCTGATGACATGTACCAAATATGGGTGAAATCGGTTCACAACCACGCCTGAAATCTCGATTATCACTTAATCATGCGAGAGTATAAAATGTTCGGTGACACCCGAACTTAGCCATTCCTTACTTGTTTTATATAACAACATACCCTAATGCTTCTTTAAAATCAAAAAAAAAAAATTCTCGCAATTATTTTGTTTTCATTACGCTACTCACTCATACATGTACGTGCACGTATTCCATTGCAGATGGCGTCAGATTGCCAACGAATATATGACAGCGTGTTCAGAACGGCACCCTACTCATCGAGAATGTGCAGCGCACCGCCGATCAGGGAACCTACACTTGCATCGCCCGCAACAAGCACAACTACACGGCGCAACGGACGGTGGAGGTGAAAGTTTTGGGTGAGTTAAAGTTGAAGTTGCGGCAAAATTTTCGTTGATAGCAGTGGTGTTTCAATTTGCTGCCCACGTTGGGTGGCTACAAATTCGGGAATATCACCAGACTAATTTTAATTTGTCTGGAGTAGTTAATGGAAAAGTGCAAAATGATGAAATGTTTGCGCCTAGCTCCATATGAGTTTTGGTAAATTTTGAAACTTGTATTTGAAAAAATACGAAAAAAGCTGCGGAAAAAATCAATAAAACCCGCAAGTGGTAAACACTACTCGCATTTAATTGTTGCTGGTTTTACGTATTCGGAAAAGTTATTGCGAAATAGCTTATGTTTAACATAGCTAAATTCGAGCATATCTTCAGGGGCCTTATTCAGTATCTCGATTCGTAAATGTATTCTATTCGAAAATCGGATCTACTTTATAATTTTTCGAAAGTTGTACCACCCTGTGCCAGAATAAATACGAACAATTTTCGTTTTTGCTTTCTACAACTCAAAAGCTAACGAATATTTTATTCGAAAATTGGCTTGCAAATCCGAAAATCGAGTTACAGAATATTAAAAACCGAATTCGAGTAAATTTTGTTTCGAATCGAGTTACAGAATAGGCCCCCAGAGAGCGGTGGCCAGAGTTTAAGAACTTAGAAGTTTTTAATTGGATTTAACTACAAATTATTTTTATTCATTTATTTGTAGCTTATTGTATCAATAAAATGTTTAGGGCTTTAATGGAGTTAGTGTTTAGATCATATAGGCGTGACAACGTCCTATTTTAGGTGAAAACACATATTCCGAAATTCGCTTATTCGATTTAAATAAAATTCGGTGCGTGACCTTCTACTTACATCTTTTTCCTATATTACTATGGAAATTAGTGTAATCAGTTGACATTTTATAGAAAATATCGGTAAATGTATGAGGTATGTAAATGAAATTTGTAGAGAATCCTTTCCTGATAACAGTATCTCTGTGTATCCAAAAAAGTTTGAATCGTGTCAATATTTCTTTTAATCCCCACATACCTAATATAAAGATTTTCGGAGAACAGGTTGACTTTATAATGCATGCATCAACCAATATGTAAGTTATCTAAACAAAATTGAGAAATTATTATTTTTCTTATAAAATTTATTATTCTTAAATGTCACTTATATAACTTTGGCCACACTCTCTCTCAACTGAAATCACACAATGCGGTTCTAAATGCTTTTAGAAACAACATCTCTATTACGTCAAGTGCTATTTAAAAGTAAATAAATAATATAAAAATATCTAGAAATATATTGACTATTTTTTAGAACACATTTTAGCACCGATTTATCATATGCACATTTTAATAATAATTAATTTGAGGAATTTTCAGCAAACGATACACAATAAAAGCCGATAGTAATTGCACATGCCAAAAATATGAATATTAAAAAAATAAAATAATAATACAGAAATTTAAAAAGGTGGAATACAAATATTAATATAAAAATGAATTTGCACGCTACTCACAATAAGAGAATTTTTTTAATTTGCACTGAGTAATTCGCAACTTGTAACAAATATTTTCGCATTTAAACTTCACGCTATTTCAATTACCTATAAAAATGCATTTTTTCCAAGCCTGCTAAAAATACATACATACATACACACAAAGAGTTATACAAATATATATGCACATGCTGGCATTTCCGCTTTCACCCACTGAAATGAAAAGAATACACGAAAATAGGATGCAGTTTAACGGTGTTGAAATGAAAGAACAACACAGCACACTCGCTACACTCACACTCATACAGCACTCACAAACTAAAGCTATTTTAATTGTTCACCTACGTTTTTCCATACTTTGCTCTGCTACTCTACTTCTTCTTCTATACCTTTTCCAACTTTGTTCATAATTTTCACTGCTGCTATTTTTTATGCTATACCTGTATTTTTTACGGTTATCTCTTTGTCCTAAGTCTGTGTGTTTGCATTTGGTGCGCATTTTGTTGTTGTTGTTACTAAAATTTTCCCTTTATTGGCCTGCATACGAAATTTTTTCATTTATTGTGCCCACACAAAGATATCCACGCACACATACAGACAACACAATATTTTCGAATAACATTGCATTCGTTTTGACATATCGCTCTGGAGAGGCTTTGATGACATGTAAAAATGCAATGAAAAACGTTAATTAAGACTTTTTACGCATATTCACACACATTCACGTAACTATGATATTCATAAACAAAATATACAACAAACAAAAACGTTGTGAGCAAATAAATTAAGTTCAAAAGTTCACGTCAATATGAAGCTATAAAAACACCGCAATTTTACCGCACATCAAAACGCCATAAAACTCCTATAGTCAGCCGGTAACGATTGCGTAAATGCTTACAAGTGCTTCTTATATGTATGTACATACGCACATACACATTTGCACTTCGATATTGCAGCTTTGAAGTCATATCCAACTCCGGTCGAAGTTATTATACCTAACGACAGCTGCACCCACAGCTTTATAGTATGATTCCGAAAACCTAAATAGGCAAAAACCAAAAAACTACCCTTCCAAACGATCGTTTCATTCAATTCAAGTTTCTTTGTTTTTGGTCCTTTGATCGCTAACACTTACTTGTAACTTAGTTTTTAACTAGGGTTGCTGGATAAGCTTCTTCTCTAAATTTGTTTATCTTAAGATCACTAAGAGGATATTATCACTTCGCCAGTAACAGAAATTAGATCAGTTTTAGGTCCGGTAATACTTATTAGCTCATGATAGAAAAGGGTTCATTGTTAATCCCTGAGTTGAGATCGCAGATGGATTTCTAAAAGCAGTCTTTGTGAAGAAAAGTTCTATAATGTAACTGAAACTTCACAAAGCCTTTTGAACTCAGCTGTAGGAAGTAAGAAGCTCATGTTTGAAGACATCAGTTCAACGTTTTGTTTGTTCTAATTTTGCAAAAGTGTTACACGAAAAAGTGTTGATTGTAGTCTGTTGTTTCCTAGTTTTAGACGTCATACTATCACTATATTTTCGGCTCCAATCATAAGCCAACTCATAACGATTTCAATTGTATCTATGTATTCCTTCGTCAGTGTTTTTATAGTTCATAATTTGGTAAATGAAATTCGGGGTTTCCATTCCTAAAAACACTAGTACACACATTTCTAGTACGCAATTCTAACCGTGCAACTACCTGATATCAGCAGATTACGTAATTATTCTTAAATCAGCACAACAGATCAGAAACGTTAATACAGTTCCTGTAGTTTTTGCCGTAGCGGTTATTTAATCCATGTTTAAGTTGCAAATAGAGAGCAAGGAGGCAACTTTCTGTTTCGACTGTGTTAAACCAGTGGTGAGGGGAGCGTAATGAGTTGGATTTGTTGAGATTGCAAAGTGTTCGTTAGAGCCATACCGACCCTCTACTCTATTGGCTTCTTCCTAACCACATCTTCCTCGCAGGTTTGATGCCAGAAGAAGGAGAAAAGAACTGTTACGAAACAAAAGTGTGCGATTTCGAAATTTTCGAAGACAGTTTCATTTAGATACTCTCAGAGGCTAATAGCAAGTTTTTCAGCCAAACTTCTTACGGCAATGTCGACGGGTGCTACGTGCAAACGGCAAAGAATGGTTAACGTGGTCTTTAGTACGCCATACAAACAGATGAGCGATGATCTTAAGGATAACTTGAAAAAAGTTTATATTGTATACTAACAATACCAATCCGGGTTTTTAGGGCCAATAAAATATTTGAAGAAACGGGAATGGTGTCTTCATGTTGTTAGGGCCGAAAAATTCCGTATTTTTAGCTTACTATTAGCTACTATGAAAACAGAGCAATTAGTTTTTTATTTAGAACTAAATCTCTAATAAAAGTAGTTTGCTTCGATGTAAAAAACAAAAAACCAAAATTTCACCGTAAAATCTTCCGGCTTAAAATTCATTGCAATTTCATCCAAGTGATTACGTTAAGCAATTGTTTCAAGTGCAAACATACAGGTACACATACATACTTACACTACATTAATAACATAAATGCAAATAAAATACTCGAAAGCGCAGTTATAACATTTTCCACAACCCGTCCTCCACCTCAACCGCCCTTTCCTTTTCTCCTTCGACAGTGCACTTGGCACTTGATCAACATGCCTGCTTGCTTGCAATGAAAGTTTATGCGAATGATCAGCATGCAGCACACGCACCACGAATTTTGCACAACATTGAGCACCTTATAATTCACCAAGAAGCACCGCAGACGTTCACCATACATACCCAGCGCATTTTAAGCTCTCACTTCTACTGCATCCACTTTTTATCTAAATATTTATTGTTTGAATTTCAGCAAAGCATATGCGTCCGCTCTCTTAAATAACTATTAAAATCACGTCCGTTGCAATGCACCGATTTATTACGCACATATTTTTTTGGGTATTTTCAACCTATTTCACTATGTACTAAACTCCAGTGCACTCTTTTTTGTTATAATTTCTTTAAAATTCGAGTATTATTTTTTTTCCTTTTTCTGTTCTTCCTCTTCTTCTTGATTTTTTGGTCTCCACCATTTGTGTTGTGTGCACATCACGATTTGCATTTTGCACCATTTTGCATTTCTGAATTTCTGCATCTGAACCTGCATTTGCATCTGCATCAGCATTGCGCATTCGCGACGCGACGTCATGGTGCGGCGCTCAAATGGCGCTTACCGCACAGTTGTGTGTTTTGTCAACATCCAACGCCTAAACGTTCAATTCACGCACCGACAGCCGTCGACAGCAGTCAGCAGTCAGCCATTAATTCCTCAGCCATAAGTACTTATAGATATACACATCATATATATATATATATATATATATATATATAAAGATACATATGTATGTACATACATATATGTATATATATTTGATTTTGTTGTATCTGCTCACTATTCTCGGTTGACGGCGTGCGCTGGACGTTTCGGTGTATGAGCAAGACAGAATCCTCATTATGGGGCATTGTGTTGTGTGGCATGCGGTCGTCCTTGGC